TTTCCTTTTTAAAAAACGAATACAACTATTTTAGAGAAATTTTCAACATATGGAAACATTCAGTAGAAAGCACAGATTATAGGTCAATGGGACAAAGTTCAGAAATAAACAAGTGTCCAATTAATTCTCTACAAAGATGTTAACATCTTTAAACAAATGAAACAGAGAAAGGAGTCTTCTCAACAAACGGTACTGAAACAATCAGATATTCATGCGTTTAAAAAAATAAACTCTGACCCTTATCTTACACCCCGCACAAATGTGAAGTCAAAGTGGATTATAAACCTAATTTTGAAGCTAAAACTGTATGACATTGGCTGCAGGTTTAAAAACAGACAAACAAAAAAGCTGAAACTAAAACTCCTAAGAGAAAAAAAAGACAAAAATTTGTAACCCTAGGATAGCCAAGATTTCTTAAATAGGTCAAAAATACATGAATCAGAAAGAAAAAACTGATCAACTGGACTTCATCAAAATTAAAAACCTCTGCTCTTTTGAAAGTTGCCAGATGAAAATGAAAAGGAAGTCACAGGCTCAAAGAAAACACGTGCAAAACCTTTATCTGACAAAGCAATTACGTCCAGAGTACAGAAAGAAGCCTTACAATGCAACAGAAAAAGAGAGACCCACAAAAAAAGGCAAAAGACTTGAACAAACACCCCTTACTAAAGAAGATACACAAATATCACAACAATCTGTGAGTTGTGATAATAAAAAAAATACACGAATGGCTAATAAGCAGTTGAAGGAATGCTAAACATCATCAGTCCCTAGAGAAATGCGAATCAAAACCCCAATGAAAAACCATTACATTTCTACTAAAATTGCTACAATAGAAGGGCATGTTGGCAAGGACTTAAAGCAATTTGTACTGTCACACACGACTGACAGGAATGCAAAAATGGTACAACCACTTTGGAAAATCTTGACACTTTCTTATAAATTGGAACATAAACTTACCACACAACTCCTAGTATTTACTCAAGAGGAATGGGAACATATGACCACACAAAGTTCTCATTATGAACATTCATAATAATTTTGTTTGTAACAGCCAGAAACTGAAAATAACCCAAATGTGCAAACCAATAGTTGAATGGATAAAGAAACTGTGGTGTATAATGCAACAGAAATTATTCAGCTATAGAAAGAAATCAAATACTGACACTTAAGAAAAAGAATGAATGTTAGAAACACTATGCTGGCCGGGCGCAGTGGCTCACACCTGTAATCCCAGCACTTTGGGAGGCCGAGGTGGGCAGATCACCTGAGGTCCAGAGTTTGAGACCAGCCTGACCAACAGGGGGAAACCCCATCTCTACTAAAAATACAAAATTAGCCAAGCATGGTGGTGCATGCCTGTAATCCCAGCTACTTGGGAGGCTGAGGCAGGAGGCTGAGGTAGGAGAATCACTTACACCCGGAGGCAGAGGTTGCGGTGAGTGGAGACTGGCCATGTGGCCATGCCCTCCAGCCCAGGTAACAAGAGTGAGCCTCCATCTCAAAAAACAAACAAAAAAAAAAAAACAAAGAAAAGAAAGAAAGAAACACTATGCCAAGTGAAATAAGTGCAAATATGAATTCATTTGTATAAAATTCCGGAAAAGGTAAAACTAATCTATAATGATAGAAAGCCAATAAGCAGCTGCCCAGGACTGGGAGACAGGGACTGACTCCAAAGGGGCATAAGGAACTTTCTAGGGGTGATAGAAGTGTTCTCTATCTTGACTGTGGTGGCAGTTAAAAGAGTCTATATATTTTTAAAACATACCAAACTCTAAACTTAAAATGAATGCATTTTTACTATAAGTAAACCCTACCTCAGTAAATCTGATTTATGAGGAAAGAGAATGGTTCCATCAGGCTGACCCACGTGACCCTCAGAGCCCCACACCGCTCACTTTCTTTTGATTTTAAAATGAATGACATTTTAAAAGACATCCATTTAATAATTTATCAGGAATGATACAGATTTAAGAAGAGAAGGCAGGAAGGTATAATCATAAGGTTTTGAGTTTTAACTTTTCAATCTTTTTCTATCTCTACTTGGTGAACACTTACTCATTCCTCAAGAACCAAATCAAATATTTTATTTCTATAAAGCCCTTTCAGAAGCTTCAGCAGATTAATGACTCTCTTTTATGTGCTCCTCTAGTACTATGTCCATATCTTAATAAAGCACTTATTACTTTTCACCATAACTACCGATTCATATTTCTTTTCTGCTCCCCACCCCACCCTGGCTGAGCTCACTGAAGACAGGGATGATGCCACTGTGCTTTACTCAACTTCTCTATCTCCAGCACCCAAACAATACTTTCCACATCATAGATGCTCAACAAATGCTCATTAAAACAACCAAAACTGGTACCCACAAATTACATGTGCATCTAGATACGCACATGAAGAAACAGGTGGAATGCAACTGAAATGTTATTGTCTCCACCAAAAAAAAGAGAAGGTTTTGAATAAATATTCATTATGCTGATATATAATAAGACTAATAAGAGTGATTTAAAAATAACTTGAGTTGTTTTTTTTTTGAGACATAGTCTTGCTCTGTCACCCACAGTGATGTGCAGTGGTATGATCTCAGCTCACTTCAACTTCCACCTCCCTGGTTTCTGCCTGGAGTACTGTGTTTAAAAGGACTCCTAGACCATATCTGGAGGCACTCAGGAAGAAAACAAAGAAGTGAGAAAGGTTAAGTGGAGAACCAGTAAAGTGCAATGCCACAGTAGCCTAGGGTTTCAAGGAAAGGAGATTATAATGTTAAGTCAGGGAGAGTACTAAGCCCTTGTTTTCAGTCTCAACAACTCCTCAAATTCATCAGAAGCTCTTACTCCATTCAGTATCATCCTGTCTCGGTTTCTCTCTTTATAGAATTGGCACACACACTGGCCAGGCACAGTGGCTCACACCTGTAATCCCAGAGCTTTGGGAAGCTGAGGCAGGTGGATGGCTTGAGCTCAGGAGTTTGAGACCAGCCTGGCCAACACAGCGAAACCTCTTTCTACTAAAAATACAAAAATTAGCAGGGTATGGTGGCATGCATCTGTAATCCTAGCTATTCGGGACGCTGAGCCTGGGAGGTGGAGGCTGCGACGAGCGGAAATCGCAACACTGCACTTCAGTCTGGGTGACAGAGTGAGACTGTTTCAAAAAAAAAAAAAAAAGAACTGGTACAAACAAACTTATTCACAAGAATGTTGAAAGAAATGCATATAAAGTATATTATATGTAAAACTGAGACTTTATACTTTGATCAAACAAAAATGGAAAAAAAGCTTTTGAATTCCATCTTCTCATTTTTATAATGCTAAACAAATTATTAAATATGTGCATATTTGAACTGCTTCATTTTCCTGTAAAATGAACCATATTAAACTCCTCAAGAATTTACTCTGAATAATTAAAGCAAATGCAAAACTTTCTGCAAAATTCATACAAAAGTTTGAATATGTGACGTGTTATGAAGTCATGAAATAAACAATATTCATGTATTTAATAACCGGTAGTCTCTTCTCAGCATTGAATCATTCCTTTCAAGGAAACTACTGCACTCCTGTTTCATTATGAGGCAATAAATATAGAGACACTAACGCAATTTAATTGAATCTATATTTTGTACTATAAGAATATGCTATCCCCTAAATTACTGTGTTCCCCAAGAATAGATTAATACAATTTGGGATGCAAAATTTTTTTTATGGTGGTCTTTACCCAACACAAAAAGAACTATACCAAAGCTATAAATACTACAAACTAAACATGTTCTAGAAGAGACTGCCCCCTTGTGTGTATCAATAACACCCAACAGATTCAGAAAACTAGTTCCACCACTGGAAGCACCCAGGCTTCTAAAAAGGTCTGGATCTTTCTGGGTTTTAATTTCAACAGCTTATATTTAAAGTGGTGACCTTTAAAGAAAAATAAATTGAACATTATGCTAAGCTTATAAAACATGACTAATTTATGGCATTCAGCAGCAAATATCAACATGATTCCTAACACTTAACTATCAGGAATACAAGCTGCTCAAGTGCTTATAGGCTAAGCCCGCAGAGATGAGTAATTTTCTGATCCTTAATTCTACAACACAATACAGAGCCAAGAACAAAGAAACCTGTACATTTCAGAGAAAATAGAAAAATAATGAAGCAGACTATGGTGGCTTGTTTTAAAATATATATATAGGGCCAGGCGCGGTGGCTCACGCCTGTAATCCTAGCATTCTGGGAGTTCGAGGCAGGTGGATCACGAGGTCAACAGATCGAGACCATCCTGGTCAACATGGTGAAACCCCATCTCTACTAAAAATACAAAAAATTAGCTGGGCATGGTGGCACGTGTCTGTAATCCCAGCTACTCAGGAGGCTGAGGCAGGAGAATTGCCTGAACCCAGGAGGCAGAGGTTGCAAGTGAGCCGAGACGGCGCCATTGCACTCCAATCTGGGTAACAAGAGCAAAACTCCGTCTCAAAAAAAAAAAAAAAAAATTTATATATATATATACACACATACATATATAGTTCATCCAAGTATTTAGGTATTTTCTTCTGAAATCTTGGAAAATAAAAACTTTTAAAAATTTGATATATGGCCTAATGTCTCTTTATAAGAGACTGAAGTGCATTCTATTCATATATAAATAGAAACAGGCCATTCAAACACAGGTCATTATCAGCATTATTATTTTGACTAACAACCTGCAGTATTGAACAAAAGCTTTAGAGCAAGACTTGCTGAGGAAAAGAACACATTAAGGCAATAAAAAACATTAAGGTAACAAGTGATGTGAAATACTCAACAGCACAGATCTTCTCTAATTATGGTCAGAACAGCTGAAATTCCTTTCTATTGAAAAGCCATTAGGAGAATTAAATGAATTACCATGTGGTAAAGCACTTACCATAAGAAACATAAAATGTTTGTTACATAAGTAAAGAAATTAATGAACATAGGAAACCACATAGTGCACATACATTCAATAATACCTACTTTCGAAGGTGGTCATGTTCTTTCAAAAATAGCTCAGTTCTTCTGTTGTTTACTCCAGATCCACTTTTATATGACCTAAGACAAAAGAGAAAATTTAAAAACATTTTTGGCAGAGAATGCAAAATCAGATTAAGTGACTGACTCTAGTGATCTTGCAAGTAGAAAAACTGAGCCTCTTCCAAGTTTTGAATGAATAATGAAAATACATAATCCTTTTCATTTCCCTCTGAACAATGTTATTTATTATAACTAGATAAATATTAATGCCTCTGCCTCTCTAATTTAGGCCTAATAGTTTACTGTTTTTCACCAAAATAACTTAACATTCTGAAACAACCAACCAAAAAATCTTACTTTTCCTTTACTTGCTATCTCTGATATCTTCATTTTTCTCCAAGTGGAAGTAAAACTTAGGACTGATTTAGTATATAGCACACAGGGTGGGAAAGCTGTTGAAATGAAACGGTTTCCTTCACAATAATATATGCAATCCACCAACACCTAAGGAACACTGAAATCAAGCTAAAGATTTTCTCATTTTGGCACACTTATGGATAACTGCTTTGGTCCTTAGCGTATTGAAGTTGACAAAAAAACTATTCTTATTACTACTATCAAAAATTTAATTTTTCTGTTTTCCACTAATAAAGTATCAGGATCAATTGTTTTTGTTTTTGTTTTGAAACATTAGAGTCTCATTTTGTTACCTAGACTGGAGTGCAGTGGCACAATCTTGGCTCACTGCCGCCTACTCAACCTCTCAGGTTCAAGTGATCCTCCTGCCTCAGCCCTGCAAGTAGCTGGGAATACAGAAGCATGACATCATGCCTGGCTAATTTTTGCATTTATTTATTTTTGAGACAAATTTTCACTCTGTCACCCAGGCTGGAATGCAGTGGTGCCAACTCGGCTCACTGCAACCTCTGCCACTCGGGTTCAAGAGATTCTCGTGCTTCAGCCTCCCAAGTAGCTGGGATTACAGGTGCCTGCCACTATGCCAAGCTAAAATTTTTGTATTTTTAGTAGAGATGGGGTTTCACCCTATTGGCCAGGCTGGTCTCGAACTCCTGGACTCAAGTGATCCACCTGCCTCAGACTCCCAAAGTGCTGGGATTACAGGCGTGAGCAACTGTGCCTGGCCGCTCTTTTCACTTCTACCTTCTACTGTGATTAACTCAGAGTTGGTACTCAGGAGACAGTTTAATGAATATATGGAACATATCTTTTACGGCCATTTTTCAAAAAGCAAGTTATTACAATGGATTGCATTCTAGTGATCCCCACACATTGTGTCCCACAATGTCTACACATTAAAGGCCACCCCCTACACAGGTTCTCAATGCATTCCTCAAAATGTATATATAAATGGACTGTACGAAAATTGAATGAAAGACGTACATGTCCTGAAGGAATAAAAATCTTACAGCTGTGTTATTGTTACAACAAAATAAAGAATCTCCAGGAAAGTGCTTCTATAGTTCACAATAAATGTATATCATAATTTATGAAACTTATCACGTAATTTATCACAAATGAAATGATGGCAGGTATCATTAGATGCTCCAAATTGGAAAGTCTTCAGCTTCAATGAGATACCCTGGGACTTAACTTTGTCAGTAGTGTTCAGTTCTGACAAAATTTTCAAAAATGTATATGAAATGCTAGAACAGATCATTAATGGAGAAGTGAAGGCACAGAAGAAAAAAATATTTAAAATTATAGATTGAGATTGGTGTAAGAAGGTTAGATAATTTAACATAAGGCTATGAGTTTGTAGATATTACTGTTTGTAATATATAACTGTCGGGACAAGGGACAGGAATAGGAGATAATCAGGAAGAGAAACATGAAAAGCTTCAGTTACTGATAATGTTAATTATTAAAAATTTTATTTTCTCTAAGCCATCTGCAGAGGATCATAAAAGTAATGTTATAATTCTTAGAGTGGGTAGTGAGAGATCAGAGAACCATGAAGACATCACCTAAGCAGGACTTTGAATTAGGACAGGAAAGTCAAGGCTGGCAGGAGCCAATGATAAAGTAAGGGGAAGCATGAGATAAACATGGAAAAGTAGATTAGGATAACACTGCAGCAGCAGTCTTCAAAAGACAGTGAAATGAGAACTGGAAACCCTGAAATCTCAAGCATGGTTCTGAATATATCCTAAAGTCAACTCTGAATAAATATTCTACCAAATAATATAAAAGGCAACTTACTCAATATCTTTCCGTACTGATCCCATGAGATTCTCCCTTTCCCGTATTGCCGTAAAATTTGCTTTGGTTTTATGAAATTCATGTGTATAATCCTGTAATAAATAAATCAACATCCAGTCTCAACAAAAGCTAATTATGGATTTTCATCTCACTTAACCAGTTATGTACTGTTATCACACTGTAAATTTCTGTCCAGAAAACTGCTATTTAAGAAATCAAACTAACCAAAGGTAAAAATAACTTAATAATTACTTTCCTGAAGAGTGACCAATTTCTTTCAAATGAAAATAACTCAGTGCTAGGGAAACAGTGCCATTAAATTATTGTCCTTTGTACCTCCTGGTACTTTATGAGGTGGAATTAGGAAGAAAAAAATTCTGAGATAAAATAACTTATGGCGAAACCCCATCTCTACTGAAATTACAAAAATTAGCTGGGGTGGTGGCATGCACCTCTAGTCCCAGCCACTTCATTCAGGAGGCTGAGGCAGGAGAATCGCTTGAACCCGGGAGGCAGAGGTTGCAGTGAGTTTACACCACTGTACTACAGCCTGGGCAATAGGTCTCAAAAAAACAAGGATATTTAAAGAGTAAATGTCTATCAAGTTCAACAGAGCTTAAAAAAAATGGAGTAAATGCCTAGGAACAGAATAACTGGATCAAAGAATCTTACATTTAAATTTTGGTATTGCTAAACTGTCTTCTAGAAACATTACATCAATCTATATTCCCACAAGCAATATATGAGTGCCCTTTTTTTATTTTTCTCTTGCCCATAATGGGTTACAAATGTTTTAACACTTGCTAATCTGACAGGTGAAAAATCACCTCTTTCTGAGTTCTGTATTTTTATTTGGAAATATTACTGAAAATGTTTTTATAATTTTGGCCACTCATTTTTTTTGTAACCAAGTTTATATCCTTTGTCCATTTTCCTATTTTTTTTCTGATTTCTATTATTTCTCTGTGTAGTAAACAAATTAGTCATTTGTTACAGTTTCCAGTATCAAGTCTTATTTATAAAGTCCTTTCCACTCAAAAATTTATAAATTTCACCCATGCTTTATGATTTCTTTTTCGACTTACTTCTTGGATCCATTTGGAATTTATGCTGGATATGAGGATTGAGATATAATTTTTTTTCAGTCCTTCAATAATTAGCCAATGGTTATAGTTCCACTTGTTTTATAATTTCTCTTTGTCCCATTGATTTTAAACAATGTCTTTATCAGAAGCTAAAAATTTCCATACGTAATTGGGTCTACATATGAACTCTATTCTGTTTAATTATTTTTATTTTTTATTTTTTCTCTAGAATAAAATTGGCTTAACTATTCCAGTTTTTTTTTTTAACAGGTTTTAAGATCTGGTAGAACTAGGAACCCTCTACTGCTTATCTTCATTTTCAGGTTGTTTTTTCTTGATTGTTCTTGTATGTCTATGATTCCTAATGAACTTCAGTGTCATCCTGTCATTTTCTGTTTTTTTTTTTTTTTGAGACGGAGTTTCGCTCTTGTTACCCAGGCTGGAGTGCAATGGCGCGATCTCGGCTCACTACAACCTCCACCTCCTGGGTTCAGGCAATTCTCCTGTCTCAGCCTCCTGAGTAGCTGGGATTACAGGCACGCGCCACCATGCCCAACTAATTTTTTGTATTTTTAGTAGAGACGGGGTTTCACCATGTTGACCAGGATGGTCTCGATCTGTTGACCTCATGATCCACCCGCCTTGGCCTCCCAAAGTGCTGGGATTACAGGTGTGAGCCACTGCGCCCAGCCGTCATTTTCTATTTTGAATTAAACAAACAACAATACAAACCTGCTATTTCCATTGGGATGTTACTGAATTTAGAGAAAAGTCTTCCCATCTAAAAATGGAGTGATTCTTTCCTTTACTTAAATCTTATTCTCTATGTCCCTCAGCAGAATTTTGCACATACAAGTCCTATATATTTCTTATTTAATTTATACATACTTTATAGTTTCTTCCATTATATTTTCTAACAGGTTATCATTTGCATGTAGGAAAACTATTTGCTTTTATGTATTCATTTTGTAATCTACCATCTTACTGAACTTAATTGTTTCCAACTTTTTATCAGTTAATTTTGAGTGTACTAGACCTATCATTTTATCCTGCTACCTCATAGAAATTTTGCCTCTTCCTTTCCAATATTTACATCTTTTTTCTCTCTCTTTTTTTTTTTTGAGACAGTCTTACTCTGTCACCAAGATAGACTGCAGAGGCACAATCTCAGCTCACTGCAACCTCCACCTTCTGGGTTCAAGTGATTCTCCTGCCTCAGCCTCCCAAGTAGCTGGGATAACAGGCACCTACCACCACACCCAGCTAATTTTTGTATTTTTAGTAGAGATGGGGTTTCACCATGTTGGCCAGGCTGGTCTCAAACTCCTGATCTCAAATGATCTGCCCATCTGAGACTCCCAAAGTGCTAGAATCATAAGCAGGAGCCACCATGCCCTATCTATATCTCATTTATTTTTACTGTCTAATTGTACCATCAAGAACTTAAAAAACAATGTTATACATTTGCAGTGATCATGGGTATCCCTGTCTTGATTTTTTTCTTCAATGGGAATGTTTTTATTGCTTTACCTTTACAAACACAATGCTAGCTTTTAATCCAATATATACATTTTTGTATGTATTAGATAAAATATCTTTCTATTCCAATTTTTTTTTTTTTTGAGATGGAGTCTCTCTCTTGTTGCCCAGGCTGGAGTGCAGTGGCACAATCTTGGCTCACTGAAACCTCCACCTCCCGGGCTCAAGCTTCCTCTGCCTCTTGAGTACCTGGGATTACAGGCACACACTTCCACACCGAACTAATTTTTGTACTTTTAGTAGACACGGGGTTTTGCCACGTTGGCCAGGCTAGTCTTGAACTCCTGACTACAGGTGACCCACCTGCCTTGGCCTCCCAAAGTGATGGGATTACAGGTGTGAGGCCACCTATTCTTACTTTTAAAAAGAGTTTTAAAAATTAGAAATAGTTGTTGAATTTTCTCAATATTAAAAATATTTGCGGCTGGGCACAGTGGCTCATGCTTGTAATTCTAGCACTTTGGAAGGCCGTGGTAGGTGGATCGTCCATACACAGGAGTTAGAGAACAGCCTAGGCAACACAGCAAAACCTCGTGAACACAGGAGTTACAGATCAGCCTGGGCAACGTGGCAAGGCCCTATCTCTGCAAAAAACTTTTAAAAAATTAGCCAGGCATGGTGGCATGTGCTTGTGGTCCCAGCTGTTTGGGAGGCTGAAGTAGGAAGATTGCTTGAGCTTAGGAGCTTGAGGCTGCAGTGAGCTGTGATTGCACTACTGTGCTCCAGCATGGGTGACAGAGTAAGACCCTATTTGAAAAAAAAAAAAATTGGCCGGGCACGGTGGCTCAGGCCTGTAATCCCAGCACTTTGGGAGTCCGAGGCGGGTGGATCACGAGGTCAAGAGATCGAGACCATCCTGGTCAACATGGTGAAACCCCGTCTCTACTAAAAATACAAAAACTTAGCTGAGCATCGTGGCGTGTGCCTGTAATCCCAGCTACTCAGGAGGCTGAGGCAGGAGAATTGCCTGAACCCAGGAGGCAGAGGTTGCGGTGAGCCGAGATCGTGCCATTGCACTCCAGCCTGGGTAACAAGAGTGAAACTCCGTTTCAAAAACAAAAACAAAAACAAAAAAAAACTTGCCCTCCTGTTTGTACTACTATATTTTTAACATATCCTCCATTTCGATCTGTAAGAGTTTATTTCATTTTATTGGTACATATACATTTAATATTTTCTCAAATAATATACTAAATATAGAAAATCATTCCCCCTCCATATTATCTTCAAAGCCAGATGAAAGTATACTCTAATCCACCACGTTATTGTCTATACATGACCATTGGCTATTTCACTGTTATAGCTCGACAGCTAGGTCTCCCAGAGTGGAACTATATGTACCCAGTGATGAATATTACTCAACTTCACCAGGAAAAACCAAGAGCTATTAAATATTTTCTGAATTTTATAATACTGACCAAAAAATTTTTAAAAAGTAAAACAAGTCCCCATACCATGGCATTTATTTTCTCAGATTTTTCTCTTTGTCCTTTTAAATACATGTGCACATATCCTGACCTCGTGATCCACCCACCTCAGCCTCCCAAAGTGTTGGGATTACAGGCGTGAGCCACCATGGACATATCTTATGCAGGGATTAAAACAAAACAAAATAAAAAACACCAAACTCTGTGATAACAGAAAAGTCTTGAGCCCAATATATTACCTGCAGTATGTCTCTATGTCGTTGTAATGTATGCATCAGGGCCGTATTCAAGGAGGGGACACCTGTACTGTTGGTATATTCTGCCATTTTATCATTTACCCCTGTAAGCTAGAAAGAAAGGAGAAAAAAACAACCAAAATATTTAATGAAGCACTATAAAAAGCTACAAGCAAATTATTTGCCTATATGCCCTTCTGGCTGACGGCAAAACAAAATGAAACAAAAAACAAGATAGCAAGTAACAATTCAGCATTTCCTCCACATAATCCATAAAGACCAAAATAACACCATATGACCTGAGAATGGCTGTCATCAAAATTTGAGTGGCCTGGGGAGGCACACATCTTGAATGGAATGGATAATTTCAATAAGCATGTCTGTCTCAATATAATCTAGTACCCTATCTAACAAGTGCATGGTTATTTGCAAAAACAGCCATTTAACAGAAAGCACTTACCCTTGCCAAAAGTTGTTCAATCTCAATTGCCATTGTCTCAAACATTCTGTCTTGGCTTGATCCATTTAAAAGGGGTGTTGTATCAGAACTAAAAAGAAGTTCAGTTAAAGAGGATCCATTACTCAAATACAGTCCTTTAAAACATACTTAAAATAAGGTAGTTAATAGGAGCCATAAAAGGAATTATGCATTATGTTACAGGGTCTGTGAGAAACAATCTTTTACATTTTTACCCCAAAGGAATCACAGTTCCTTCAACCTTAAGTTCTCTCTTCTTTCCTTTACTGTTACCAAGAGGAAGTAAAATTGAGATTTAAATGATCCACAGATTGGATAACAAGCTATTGAATACTCAGAAACTGGCTTTAAATCCAATACATACAGCCATGTCCTGCATGCTTTGGTACTAATCTTCCACATTTCCGCTTATAATATGCAATCATCCTTTTGTTTTGTAAAATTGTGTTAAATTGCTTTTTCAAATCTGAATAGTCAAAAATTGATCTTTTTACAAGTGAAACTTATGTTTGACAGATTCAAATTCTAAACGCACCTGTCCTCAGTGTTTCTTTTGTCTTTTCTAAAACACCACTAACCTTCATTAGATTAGGTATGTATGAGCATATGAAGAGCAGCTCAATATAGACCTAAGTTATACTGGACACAGATAAATGCCCAGGTAATTGACTATGCTCTCCAATCTTACCAAAGACTTTGTCCTGCCCTGCAAATGAAAAAGATTAAATAAATGTTCTGTAGACTACTAGTATAAATCTTCCCTTACCAGATATATGAGAAAGAACAATAGGCCAATAGAATTAAAGCTTCATAAGGGGAGAAAAAATTGTCTCTGTCTTATTCATAGATATATGCCTAGCACCTAGTACAGAGCCTGGCACATAGTAGGTGCTCATTAAATGTTTGTTGAATGAATGAATGCGAGAGCAATCCCTACTACTGGTTATTCCATACTCATCATATTCATACATTCATCAGGACAGTATAAGAGTAAAGGGAAGATGGGCGCGGTGGCTCACGCCTATAACCCCAGCACTGTGGGAGGCTGAGGCGGGTGGATCACGAGGTCAAGAGATTAAGACCATCCTGGTCAACGAGGTGAAACCCCATCTCTACTAAAAATACAAAAATTAGCTGGGCATGGTGGTGCGCGCCTGTAGTCCCAGGTACTCGGGAGGCTGAGGCAGGAGAATTGCCTGAACCCAGGAGGTGGAGGTTGCGGTGAGCTGAGATCGTGCCATTGTACTCCAGCCTGGGTAACAAGAGCGAAACTCCGTCTCAAAAAAAAAAAGGAGTAAAGGGAAACGTCCAAAAACTAATTCTTCACAATACTAGAATTCAGTTAAATTGAATTCATCCTACAGGTCTATAGGTGGGTAATGATTCACAGACCTTGAAGTTCTGAAAATACAGAAAGTTAAAAAAAAGAAAAAGAAAAAGATTCCTGGAATAAAATTCTAGTTATTGCTTAGTTGACTCATTGTGACATGTTTCCAACCTGGGCATTAAACAAGAAACTTTACACATCAAATCTTCATCCTCATGGCCTTAGGTTTTTTAATGAAAGGGGAGTTAGGCTGAAGTAATTTTACAAAGCCAGTTCCAGTTTGTAGCAGAATTTCTTAGGAAATGTTTTCAAGATAGTTTTTCCTTTAGAGGAGTAACAAGAAAAAAGTATTAGTTCAGGAAGCACACAGAACATAGAAAATGCATAGAAAGAACATTCTTCATTCTCTTGACTTGCTAAATAAAGACAAGCCCAGAGCAATGCAATCTATTTAACGTGTTGGTAATTTATTTTTAGATTCTGGAGTCAATGTTGGCCCTGCTGCCTTCACAACCAATGAGCCCTTATGAAAAAGAAACAGTGCTTTGGCTATAGTATTGAATTCACTTTTTGTTCGAATGTACACAATATAGAAGGGTTTAGAGTGTGGGCTCTGGAGATAGACCTGGATTCAAATCCAAGCTCAGATTTTGTTGTTTTTATTAGCTGGCAAATATCCTGCTCACTTTTAAACTTTGAAAAAGTATGTAAAGTCAGTGTGGATTAACAACAATTCTTATACCAGCAATTTCACTGCTAGGTATATAGAAACATTCTGTGTAAAAATGTTCCCAGCAGCATTTATAGAAAGCTCTTACCTAACATATAATGAACATTCTATGTCAGCTATCAAAATTATTATTAATTAGCAAAAATTAGAAACAGTGTCCATCACCAAATGGTTAAAGTGTGATACAGTCATACAATACTACATATGAATTACAAATGAATATACCAGAATTAAATGAATCCATAGCTGAATCTCAAACTGTTAAAGGAAAAAAACAATTGCAAAATAAATATACTATATATATACCTATATTACTACATAACATAATAGGATACTATGAATTGTTCAGAAATACAAACATGCAGTAAGAATATATGTTGATTATGGTGTGGGAGAAAGTGGAGTGCCATAAGGGACTTCAATGGAATGATTGATCATTTTTTTAAAATGGGAGATTTGTAACTGTCTTAAATCTCTTTTTTTTTTAATTTGTTATTATTTTTTTTAATGGAGTTTTGCTATTGTTGCCCAGGCTGGAGTGCAATGGCACAATCTTGGCTCACTGCAACCTTTGCTCCCAGGTTCAAATGATTCTCCTGCCTTAGCCTCCTAAGTAGCTGGGATTATAGGCATGTACTGCCACGTCCAACTAATTTTTTGTATTTTTAGTTTCACTAGGCCAATCTCAAACTCCCAACTTCAGGTGATCTGCCCGCCTTAGCATCCCAAAAGCGCTGGGATTACAGGTGTGGGCTACTGCGTCCGGCATTTTTTGTTATTTCTATTTTTTTTAGAGACAGGGTTTCACCATGTTGCCCAGCCTAGTCTTGAACTCCTGGGCTCAACTGATTTACCTTTCTCAGCCTCCCAAAGTGCTGGGATTACAGGTGATCCACTGTGCCTGGCCACTCCTAATATTTTTTTGAAACAAGTGGATGACTTAAAGTGAGCATAAGCTTCAAAGATAAGAATGTATTTTCCAGGCCGGGCCCGGTGGCTCACGCTTGTAATCCCAGCACTTTGGGAGGCCGAGGCGGGTGGATCACGAGGTCAAGAGATCGAGACCAACCTGGTCAACATGGTGAAACCCCGTCTCTACTCAAAATACAAAAAATTAGCTGGGCATGGTGGCGCGTGGCTGTAATCCCAGCTACTCAGGAGGCTGAGGCAGGAGAATTGCCTGAACCTAGAGGCGGAGGTTGCAGTGAGCCGAGATCGTGCCATTGCACTCCAGCCTGGGTAACAAGAGCGAAACTCTGTCTCAAAAAAAAAAAAAAGAATGTATTTTCCATACATTCAATATAATAATATACTAGTTTCTCAAAAAAGTACCAAAATTAAAAATAGTTTTGATAATTAACAGCAAGGTACACACTACATTAGATACATTCTAATAGAATAAACACCAGAATAGCAATATGTATACTTGGCACCTGGGTGGATCCGCAGGTTCATTTAGCAACTGGAAAACACAAGAAATATATATCAAGCGTACAAATCAGCCACCTTTTCCTACACTGGCTGAACACTCATATTGTTGATATAAACTTATTCTCAAGTTCTAGGAAGATTCTCCTGAGACTGTAACAATCTTTGTCTAAGGATTTCAAATAAATGCTAGTCTCAAGAATTCAGAAGAATTTTAATAAGTCACTAAAAAATAAAACAATCAATGACCAAACAAAACACCAAAAATTCACCAATAGACCAACTTACAGAAATCATATATTTTAGTTTATTTTTTACTGCTTTAAACACATAGTTAAGGCATAAGAGACAGAATCTGGTAGTACCTATACCTGTCGCGTCTTCCATCTCGGGCACTGCTATGACTGTAACTTGTACATAGTTTGCTGAAGGAAACTAGTTTCAGGTCAAGTTCATTTTCCAGCTGTCGAGCCTGTTTCCTGAGATCTTTAACAAAATTATAACAGAAAATAATTAGACACAAAAAGTCCATCAACAAGACACAAAAATCACAAGACTATTTTGAAGAAAACAAACTATGAAAATGATCATATACTGATCTCGTTACCCCCATAAAAAAAAGTGTTAAAAGAAGGAAACCAATGACTTGCCCAGCAAAGCAAATCAGTCACTTATGAACTTCAGAGGGGGCAAGAAGGGAAGTAGCAATGGGAGATGCAACTCTGCAGCTTTACTCCAAAAATGGCTAGAAAACAAATGTTGTTCTACCCTTCCTGAAACTACTTGTATAGCAAAAACTTAACTGTATAGCAGTAACTAAAATTCCATAATTTATTCCATAATTCCAAAAACTTAACTGTATAGCAATAACTAAAATTCCATAATTCAGAGAAAACAAGAGAATACAAATCACAAAGGAACTAAAAATACGGTTTCTGACCATTGTATCAACTTACCAATTAATATTACAAGAAAAAAGCATTATTTTTTTGAAAGGAATTTTTCTTTTTATGTTCCAAAGCTTTATTAGACTTATTAACTTCTTTTCATAATAGCAAAATGACTTATCTTTTTTTTTGAGATGGAGTCTCCTTCTGTCACCCAGACTGGAGTAAAGTGGCATGATCTTGGCTCACAGCCGACTCCACCTCCTGGGTTCAAGCAATTCTTCTGCCTCAGCCTCCCAAGTAGCTGGGACTACAGGCAGACACCACCACACCTGGCTAATTTTTGTATTTTTAATAGAGACGGGGTTTCACCATGTTGGCCAGGATGGTATCAATCTCCTGACCTCAACTGATCTGTCCACCTTGAACTCCCAAAGTGTTGGGATTACAGGTATAAGCCACCATGCCTCGCCCAAAATGACTTTTCAATTGAACATAAAGAAAAAAAAGTTACACAAAAATTGTCTTTTTTTTGTTGTTGTTATTAGAAAAGAGATCTCACAATGTTGCCCAGACTGGTCTCAAACTCCCAACCTCAAGTGATCCTCCCATCTGGGCCTCCCAAAGTGATTTCAGGCATAAGCCACCGTGCCTGGCCAAAAACTGCCTTTAAAAAACTTACTGTTTACTCTTAAAAAAAAAAATAAAATAAAATAAAAAATAAAAAACTTACTGAAAGTAATCTGGAGGGCTAAAAGTAACAATAAACAATGTGCTACTAACAAGATCTAATATGAGTATGACAGAAATAAGTACGTAAGTTTTAATAGCAGAAGCAAACAAGGAAGCAAGCAGAAAAATTGGTTTAGCAGTCTGGCATTTAAGGGGTTGTGTGAGAGAAGCCACAGTCTGGACATCCACACAGAGATATAAGTGTCTCATTCATGGCAAAGTGAAGGTTAAAATAAAAGGGCAGAAGTACCAGAGATAACGGTATAAGAATCTCTCTTTCAGGGATAAAGAATACAGAACATTATTTCAACATACTTTTCAACCAGAAATAAAAAGTACAGTTAATATAGTGGAACATATTTGCCCAGAGACCAAATGCCAGTTTGAATCTCAGCACAGCCACTAACTGACTCTAAGATTTATCGACAATCTACTTAACCTATGAAATTCAGCTTCTTGTTTTTTAAACCCCTACCTTCAGTATTCAATATTAGTAATCATATGCTTAAAGCAGCTGGCACAGAGTAGGTTGTCAGTAATGAGCAGCTGTAATATTATAGCATGGTACTTCAAAAAAACCACCGTCTAATGACTAATAAAAGTATCAGTAGCCACTTCTACATAATTTTAAAATGTTTTCTAGCGGTCGGGCCCGGTAGCTCATGCCTGTAATCCCAACACTTTGGGAGTCCGAGGCAGGTGGATCACGAGGTTAGGAGATGGGGAACATACTGGCCAATATGGTGAAACCCCATCTCTACTAAAAATACAAAAATTAGCCAGGGGTGGTGGCGCATCCCTGTAGTCCCAGCTACTCAGGAGGCTGAGGCAGGAGAATCGCTTAAACGCAGGAGGCAGAGGCTGCAGTGAGCCGAGATCATGCCACTACACAGCAGCCTGGGGCGACAGAGCCAGACTTTGTCTCAAAAAAAAAAAAAAAAATGTTTTCTAGCTAGTACATACATTTCAAATGGGCAGTGAAACACATGTTCTAAACTATAAGCACACTTTTCTGTGATTGGAATACTTGTCTTGTTTAGTAGAAACATAAGTAAAAGCATATTGAAAGTATGACAGGCCAATCTGGATAAATTCAGAATGAAGTTTCTTAGACCAAGTAGCTGACAGTGACAATATTGTAATTTCTAGAGGCTTCCGTGGATACCAACAGGAACAGGGCAAATGAATTTGAAAAGTAGTTTCTATGCTGCAGTAAAGCAAAGAGATCATTGAGAGAAAAAGGCGAGCTTTCTCTGTTCTTGTTGATCATCAAGGTTCAGGAATGAGTTTTATGTAAGCTCACTTTATTGGACTGTATTTTCATGAATTAAATGAATGCATTTGTCAAATCAAAAAAAGGTTTTCTTGGTGGGAGAAGTATAGCAAATGTAACTGCAATCCACACAACTTTTTCAGTAAAACCAATTCTAGGCTCCAGAGCAGCAGAAGAAGTTATTTTCTCTCCCTTAAAACACCCAATCCTGGAAACCTCCAGACTGTAGTTGTCATAGGGACCCAATAGGAGACATTCTGTTCGTACTTCCTCCGACGGACCGGAATGTAAGTTCCTCCTTTCTCCTTTCCCACTCAGTTTTCCAACAGTGACCTCAACTCCAAGGCGCCGACTCCTCCAGTCTCCTGGGCTCTGAACCTTCTCCCTCAACATTCGTTTCCTCTCAGAGTTGGTACCCCAAGCCCCTTCGTCCGAGTTCCATTACTCCCTCAGTACAGTTCTACTAGGCGATTCAGGTCCCTCTTCCTCTACATCCCCTCCCTGTCCACTCTGTCCAACCCCCTGCCCCACGTCCCGCTCACACGGCCCGGCCAGGCCAGCGCTCCCGCCCCAGACCATTCAGGCTCCTCAGTCCCCAGGCCCCGGGGCTCCCACTTAGGCAAGCCAGGCTGCTGAGCTCGGCCACTCCTGGGGTCTGGTTCTTTCCTCTGCTGCTTTTCCCAAGATCCGTCCTCACTCAGCCCCTCTCACCCTCGTGGGACGCGCCCGGAGGCCTTCTCGTCCTCACCTTCCCAGTAATTGCTGGTTCCTGCCGCCATCTTTGTTGTCCAACGTCAGCCGGGATAGGGGAGCATAGGCGCCGCAGGCCAGAAAGTCACCACTGCGCCTGTTTCCGCCCCGAGCGCCAGGGCCGATGGGATGCGAGCCTCCGCGGACACTGCCACCTGCTGATCAATTCGTTATTTTACAGCTTTTAAGTAGCGAGAGATCAAAAACTTCAGCTTTGGCTCCTGACGCTCCCTGAATGTTTTTCATTCCCACTTTCTGCGCCCCAGTTCGCGGCTTATCCGTTCTCTCAGCAGGTGTCTACTTGACGGGGAGGAGAATCATCCTCAGGCAACTTTCTCAGTTTCCCTCACCTTATCTCTAATGTGTATCCTCAGGCAATTTCTTCCTTTCTCAGAGACAGAGACCCTCTTCCCAGAGTCATTTTCTTCTTCCTACCTCCCCGCCTGTGCTCCATCATCCAGGCTCTCCGGCATATGCACTCTTCTCGCTGCTTTGATTGTGTCTACAGTAGTTCCAGTTCCAGCCCTTTTTCCTTGCCAGCCACCACATCTAGAGAGAGTGAGCTAACTGCTTCCACATGCTCTCCACCTGAGAGGAGGTTGAGGGCTGTCCAAACCCATACTTTACAGATACAGAAATTATCGCAGTCTGCTGGTACTGACATTTTACCTTTTCTAGTGAAGTATAGAACCCTTAATTCCTGTAAAGTCCTTTTTCCTACTCATTTATAATATAGTTGTTTTTAAGTATTTCCTCTGCATTCATTGAGAGAACCACATCAGTCAATGTTATAATATTTGCTTCAACTGTCAGGCATAAGTTAGAGAATTCAAGGGAAGAGGAAAGCTTAGTTGATTTATGCATATTTTTACTCTTCTCCCTTCCTAGTGTCCCCAGATTCCTTTTTTGTTTTTTATCGTTTCCTTTCTGTTTCAAGAATTTCCCTCCGCCATTTTTTTTTTTTTAAAGAGTAGGTCAGCTGGTGACAAATTCTATTCGTTTTTTTTCCTTCATCTATGAATGTCTTGATTTCCCTTCATTCTTGGGGAACAGGATATTGCTGCCAGATACCGAATCTGGAGTGGACAATTTCTTTTTGCAACACTTGAAAAATGTGCCAATTCTGGCCTCCATAGTTTGAGGTAAGAAATTGACTACCATCTGAATTGTTTTCCCACAGTAGCTAAAGTATTTCTCTCGCACTGCTTTCAAGAACTTTACTTTTCAGAAGTTCTGATGTGCCTTGGCATAGATTTCTTTGGGTTTATCCTGTTTGGGATATCCTCAGCTTCTTGATTCCTAGATTTATGTCTTGTGCCAAATCTGGGGGATTCTCAGCCATTGTTTCTTCCAACACTTTTTCTATCTCATACTGTTTCTCTTCTTGTTCTGAGAGTCTGATGATGTGAATGTTAGATCTCATGTTAATGTCCCACATAGCTATGAGGCTATGCTAATTTGTTTTCAGTCTATTTTCCATCACTCAGATTTGGTAATAAATGCTATTCTGTATTTGCTGACAGTAAAGTATGTCTTTCCTCTGTTCCCTCCATTCTGCCGTTGAGCCCATTTCTTGAGTCCATGTCAATTACTGCATTTTTTATAACTAAAATTCCATTCAGTTCCCCATTATATCTTCTGTTTCTTTTCTGAGACTCTTTTTATCATTTGTTCTAAGTTTGTTTGTGATTGCTCACTAAAGTATTTTTATTATAGCTGCTTTAAAGTCCTTGTCAGATAATTCCAACATCTGTGTCATCTTGGTGTTGGGGTCTGTTGTCTTTTTTTCATGCAAGAAATTTTCTGGGCTATTGAAATGATTATTTTTAAAAATTGTATCCTGATGTTTTAGGTATTCGTTATGAGATTCTGGATCTTATGTAAGTCTTCTGTTTAAACAGACTTCCTCTGACACTATGCTGGTGGGGGACATAGGGGAATGCTTGCTACTTCCTGATGGAAGTTCAGGCTCTCCCTTGGCCTTCATTGATTCCCCAGGCAGGAGGTGCCTTGTTGCTGCTGCCCATGTGGTCCCCACTGCCACCACGGCAGGGAGCCTCATTACTGCTGTGCAATGGACAAGAAGTCCAAGTGGAGGGGTGGTGGGGGGGTGCTTTATTACAGCTGGTGAGTGTGGAAGCCTAGCCTCCTCGCTCAGCCTTTGCTGGCACGGAGTGAAGGTAGGCCTCAGTTTTTTTCTGTGGCATTTGCCTGGAGTGTTGAAATTATTATCTAAAAGTATTCAGTCTTGTTAGGACACCTGTTTCCTGGTCCCTTATCTAGAGAGAGAAGGCTTTCCATTTTCCTTTGGGCTTTTCTTGTCTGTACCCTTTGGCATTTCTGGGTTGCTAGCTTCTCCAGCACCCATTATAGGACATAGGAAACAAAAGGGAAACCCAACGAACTCATCTTCGTGTTGTTTGCATCCTAAGGTCCCTAGCTGGTCTAACTTCTTCTTTCCACCTTTTTGAGTCTTTTTAAAATTATATATAATGTATTATTATTTTTTTTTTTGCTGTACTTAGTGGGAAGAATAGAAAGAAATACAGCTAATCCATATTGCCCAGAAGTGAAATTGTTCGTTTAATTTTTTTAATGTTTTAATTATCTGGCTGGATATGGTGGTTCTAATCCCAGCACTTTGGGAGGCTGAGGTGGTAGGATTGCTTGAGTCCAGGAGTTCGAGGCCAGCCTGGGCAACATAGTAGGACCTCATCTCTACAAAAAAATAAAACATTAGCCAGGCGGGGTGGTGTGCCCTGTAGTCCCAGCTACTCAGGAGGATGAAGTGGGAGGATTGCTGAGCCCTGGAGGTCAAGGCTGCAACATGACCATGGCACTGCACTCCAGCCTGGGTGACAAAGTAAGACCCTGTCTGAAGAAAAAAGAAAAAGGAAAAGAAAAAAAATCAGCTAAAATTCTTCATCTCGTCTTTTACTTTCTTGAATTTATTCATCATCATTTTTTTTTTTTTTTTGAGACAGAGTTTTGTTCTTGTTGCCCAGCCTGGAGTGCAGTGGTGCAATCTTGGCTCACCACAATCTCCACCTCCCGGGTTCAAGCGATTCTCCTGCCTCAGCCTCCTGAGTAGCTAGAATGACAGGCATTTTGTATTTTCAGTAGAGACGGGGTTTCTCCATGTTGGTCAGGCTGGTCTCGAACTTCTGACTTCAGATGATCCACCTGCCTCAGCCTCCTCCCAAAGTGCTGGGATTACAGGCGTGAGCCACCACACCCGGCCTGTCATCATTCTTTAAAAATTTCTGGTAACTGAGAAATCTGTACTTCCCATAGGATTGTTTCTATTTTTCTTGACCTTTCATAATTTAATCTTGTCTTTTGACAATAAGAACTTTTGATTGGATGATGATTATTATAGTTATAATTTTATATTAATCATTTGAGGATCTGGATGATGTTGTCTTTCTCCAGAAAGAATTTACTGTCTTTTCCTGCAGGCAGTTCAGGTAGGGCAGATCAGCTTAATCCAATACGGGGTGGAACTAATATCAGGAGGGATTCTGTGTTTGTTAAAATTGGTCTATTTCTGGTTAGCCCTTAATTCTAACATGTAGGCATTCAAGTTTTCTAACTGAAAGCCTGTTTACCAGTGCCCCTTCCTTGACAAGTGCTAACCTCATATATTTCCCCCACCCAGTGATATTGCCTGAAACTTCTGCTTGGGTTCTCTGCCTCTTTCCTGGCCTCTCTTCTGTCACCTACAAATTGACAAATGCCTGGAGGTGAAAGTTTTACTATCATGCTCACCTCTCAGCTCTTTTTGTTTCAGGATCTTGATCCTATAAGTCCTTCTTTCCTTAGTAGTTCATCCAATCCTTCCATTTTTTTTTTTTAATAAAATGCAGCTTTTCTGATTGCTCTTGATGAGAAGGTCTTTCCCTTTCAAGCCAATCCATCCATAGCTGGAAGTGGAACTAAATTTTTTTATTTCTAATTTATCTGTAGATTATTTTGTATTTTCCACATATATGATCACATCATCTAATAATGACAAATTCATTTCTTACCAATATTCATTCATATATGCTATTTGTATTTTCATGCTTCATGGCTGAGATCCATTCTGATATTAGAGCAAAGCTCAGGTATTAAATACTTTAGTAGGCATTTTTGTTGCCATGTTCAGGGAGGAGTTGTAAGTGCTCTGATTTTGCAGTTCTCATTTGACTGGCAGGACTCTAAATTTTCCTCCTTTTCTTTTCATCATCTAATTGTTTTTTGCTTCTTTTATTTTCATCACCTGATTATCAAAGGGTGCTTCCCCATTTTTCATTTTTTCCCTTCACTGGAAGCTCCTCTTTTCTTTTGAAACTATGTTTCAAAGACGGCCTCATTAAGTCACACCTGCTCCCTTTAGATTGTGGTCACTCTGAAGCCCCTTTCCTCTGGCTTGTGGTCAGATCTGCTTTGACATGCTTTTTAGATTGAGAGTTAGGTGGACCTAGTCTTTCTGGCAATAGTTTTAGACCAAGATTAGAACATATCTTCCTTTTTCTGGCATCTCTCGCTTGTCTTCCCTGCAGTTTATCTCCATGTGACTTCGTTCCACAGAGCCTGTGGGTTGCTGCTGGGGTGGGCCTGTGAGAATCCATGTTGAGATTTGCTGGTTTTCCTCATCTTACTCAGTTTGAAGTTTCAAAATTCTCTGACTTCAAATTATGCCGAGAGAGTGGTTTCTGTATGCTTTTTCCTTCTTGTGCTTGCATTATTTTGCAATGAAATATCAGGAGACAGGTAGCCAGGCTACCACTAATGTTTTAAACAATCTGGAAGTTTGCTTTCATTCTTGAAAGGTATGTTCAATACAGAATCCTATGTTGGAAGTTATTTAATGTTTTCCCTAGCATTTTAAAAGTATGATTTCAACGTACTTTGGTTTCCATTGTGGCGAGTGAGTCTAATTGCTAATCTCTTTTCTCTTTGTCTTTGTTGATCTGCAATTTCACTGATCTAAGTGTGGATGTTACTTTTTCTTGTTTGGATTGATTTTCTTTAATCTAGGGTTGCTATCTTTTTTTTTTTTTTTTATCAGTTTGGGGAAAATTCTGTCAGTGTCTCTGTTTCCTATGCTCCATTCTTTTTCTCTCCTCTAAAACTGGGGTTGTCAAACATATAGTATTAGTCATTTGTTAAATCCACATTTTAACCCTCTCCTTTCTGTTTCTACCTTTTTGTCTCTGTGCTACCTAATAATTTCTACAGATCTGTCAACTAATTACTTCTCTGTGCCCAGTCTGCCATTCCAACTGTCCATTTTAGTTTCTGTACTTTCATTTCCAGAAGCTCTACTATTATTTTAACGATTCTTGTGATAGTCTCAGATGTATCTTTTATTTGAAAACAATAATTATATTTTATAGTTTAATAATATAAACATCTGAAACCTGTATAAAACCTTTTCTGTGCTTTTTTCACTTGTGAAAAATTGTGAGGTCTTTTCCACCTCCAGGAGGGACCACCTTCCACTAGAGATTCCAGTTGAACTTGGTCACCTCGAAGCAGTGCCGCATAGCTTGACAGCCGGACCACCCAAGCTGTGTGCATAGCTGCCTAGGTTCTAGACATCCTATATCCTATGCCCAGCTCCTCTTTCCAATATGTTCCATTCACATTCTGCTAAATAGAAAACTGTATAATCCTTCCTCTTTTGCCCTCCCAAAACTCACATCTTCCAAATCAAAACCCAGGAGTCAACTCTGTATTATCTCTGCAACTTTTCCGTAAATCTAAAATTATTACTTTTTAAAATCTAGAAGTCCTGCATTTTAGCCATTACTATAGCTTTCCCAGTCCCTTTCTCTTCTGTTCCCTCTCTTTAGGATCAATGCTTTTGACACTAGATCAAAAGCCTGTTTAGTCTTGAAAAACTCTGCTAGGAACCATATGTACATAATTAATAATAATCATAAATACTAGAATAACCTCAAATATTTGAAATTAGCAATCTAGACTTTCCCATTACTCCCTCACTTGGGCTCAATCTCAATGGCAATCACGGAATATAATCCATGTTATCATAGCAATTTCTATTTAATCAGTACTCTATTTCCTTCATGTTCCATCTTGTTTCTCCACTTGCTGATTTTCCACCTACAGACTTTATCACTGCCTCTTCATATTGCTTCTAATTGAATCAATAAATTATCTTTGCTGAATTTGAGACATCCATCTCAATATACTTCCACTTCCAATTACCATACCTTCAATCTTATCAAGTAATTCTCATCCTTCTTTTCTTCAACCTTCCAGGTTGTCCTCTAAATTTCAACACCTTACTACCCCATATAGGCCAAACTGTCTCATTCTTGCTCACCTTGTCTACATTTGTTTACACACAGTAATTAGGGAGGAGGATTATTTGACCTCAACCAAAAGGCCAAAGAAATAGTATGTTTGCTTTTAATATTCTACTAATGTAGGTGAAAATGGTGATATTAAAGTTAAAATTGGGGGGCTGGGTGCTGTGGCTCACGCCTGTGCTCCCAGCAATTTGGGAGGCCGAGGTGGGAGGATCACTTGAGGTCAGGAGTTCCAGACCAGCCTGGCCAACATGGCAAAACACTGTCTCTACTAAAAATACAAAAATTAGTCAGGTGTGATGGTGAGCGCCTGTAATCCCAGCTACTTAGGAGGCTGAGGCAGGAGAATCGCTTGAACCTGGGAGATAGAGGTTGTCGTGAGCTGAGATCATGCCATTGTACTTCCAGCCTGGGAGACAGAGTAAGACTCTGTCTCAAAAATAAATAAATAAAATAAATTTATAAATAAAGTTAAAATTGGGCTTTATCTACTGATTGTATTGCTTTTAAGTTGTGAGTAATAATTAATGGTGTATTTATCTGAGGTCTGCAATAAATAGCATAGAATCAGTTGGCATTCTAAGTGACAGTAAGACATGAAGACTGACACAATGGCACTTATTCATAAGTGAGTACTATTAGCATTGACAGTCATGTTTACTTTGTTGAGAACAATCAGCTATTAGAAATCTGAAAAACTGAACATAATAACTAGATTACTGTTTATGAAACAAACCAAAAGGGTTCTTGATTCAGGTGTAAGAAAAGTAAGAAAATTCAGGAAAATATTTCAAACATTGAGAGAAAAAGAACCGTTATCACTATTCACACTTCCTGTAGCAGTTAAGCAAGGCTGTTTTCACTAACAAAGCATAAATACAACTTAATTTCATTTAAAAACAAATATGAAGCATTTTGGCATAAAACTTTACTGCCATGCTTTAGACAATCGATTGAACCACATAACAAATTTTTCTTTTTTCTTTGGAATTTGTGTCTCAGAATTTCTTCTAAATTAAAAGATCATCTATAAACGGAGCTTTGTTCATACATTTGATAAAGTAACTTTCTTTCAAAGGAGTAAGAAGACAGCATATGAAGGAAAATGATGCTGGTTATCATGGGCATTCAATTCCAAGCCAGATATTATGTTGGGCCCTTTGATAACATTATTTTGTTTAACTTTCCACTGCAATCCTATCAAGGATTATTCTTTAACCAGTAGAGAAACTGAGGCTCAGAGAATGTCAAGAAACTTGTACAAGCTTACATCAGAAGCAGTAGCAGAGCCAAGAATCAATCACAGATTGGTCCAACTCCAAAGTCCATGCTCAAACCTCTATGCTTTATTTCCTTTACAGCAGAGACTTTTAGATGAACCAATCACTATTGAAGTATAACTTATTTCCATTTCTGTTTCTCTGGTTTGGATTATGAGTTCTTTGTCAGCAGAGTCTGTTTTTTATATAACTTTGCTTTCCCAGTTCCTATTAGGGTAGCAGAAACACGTCGTTGCTGAATGAAAATGGGATACTGAATTCATCTTCACTGTGCCTAAAAGTGCCAGGACACATTATTCTAACTGGGCCTCACCTGGAAAAAGGACCACATTTTTAATGAACAAGTTTAAAATGGGTACATAAAATCTTTCAATGACCAGTTTTGTGTTGTTATTGTGAAATGATTGAACATATATAACAATCTAGCTGAACTACAAACAGAAAACTGTGGCTACTATATAATGTGATTTCAGAAATGAAGCCTTCTTTTGAGTCAATTCATAAATACAGAAACATTCCATAGGTGATACCCTGTATTCTGGTACACATTTTTCCCCTAGTATAGGTAGAAAACTATTTTTTTCTGTTTTCCCCCTAGTGTAGGTAGAAAAACTAAATAACTTTCAAACTGGACCTATAACTTTTTCTGGCTTATTGCATCTGAAAAAAAGATTATGAGACAAAACACAAAGGAAGACAAACATCATAAAATAACTTTTATACAGGATTAGTAGATCTGTTTACATATAAAAAACAGAAAGGACCTCATTACAGTTAGATTTCACATAAATTACACATTGACTTTTAAAAACTACTATGCAACTTCATTTAAAGTCCCTTTTAAAAATTTCATTTTGAAGGCACAGTGCATGACATAAACCAAAGACTGAAGCACTTGAGATGAATGCATGTTGGGCACTTCATATAAACAGCTGTAGATTGCTCTAGAACTGGGAGTATCACTTAGAAAAATTGGAGAGGCGAAAAGCTGATATTTAATCTGAGCATAAAAAAATACCATTATGTCATACCTCCAGAAAATCTGTAGCATGGCTGCATAGAAGGTAGTTAGTACACTCATGTTACGCCATTTATAAAAATCATAATCATACATATATATTTACATAATTTATATCCAACTGCCTCAAAATGGTAACCTATTTTCAAATTTCATAATATATTCTCTCAAATCAAAATCAACCAGGATAATATTCTGAAAATCAAGTGGAATAATTAATGAATTATTGCTAAAAACAGGAAAAATGGGTATTGGGAGAGATTTCTTCATGAACTAGAAATCCAAGTTCAGTTGACATTAACCAAAGACTCCAGTAATCCCTCCAAAATTTTAGTTAAAACAAATCAGAAACCTAAAGAGTTACTTAAAAAGTTGCTATGGAAAATCACTGAACATCAATTATAGTGGAATTCTTAGCAATAACAATAAAGCAAAAATATAGGGGAAATGCTGGGTTGTCACTGTTAAAACAATTCCACAAGAAAACCATAACGTAGGGCACTATTACAGCATTCACTACAAGAAGCTTTTCATAAAGCAGGGACAAAACCTGGCACAAGTGCATTTCTGGCAATAACAAGATGAAACTATTTTTAATGTTGAGAATAAATGGAAATGGAGGAGCAGGTCATGGCTACTGAGTAACCTGGTGTTAGCTCAGAAACACAATAGGCTCAGACATAAACACTACGTTTTATTTATTTGTCAACTCATAATTAGTTTTAAATTCAATAGTCATTAATTCAGCAAATCTCATTCAAGTAAAAGTTACCAAAGATTAAGCAATCAATCATACTGGGCCAAATATACAGTATGTTTCCTTTCTGGAAGATGACAAAGTCCCAAAGCAAATCCCTTCAATGAGCATTGCAAGCATTCCTCAACTGGATAGGGTCCCACTCACTACCCAAATGTTCAGCAAAATGCATCAAAACCAAAGGATTTTTCTTTCTGAAATGACTTGGGCACATCTTACTGAACTACATAATCAATACAAGTACATGTACACAGGTAGACCTGAACATTACCTACTCAATCACTTTGCTTTAATTAAGGAGCAGGGAAAGAAGAAGGCTTACAAACTGATCACCAGGACAAACCCATGCCTTGTGAGTAAAGAAAGGCACAACTTAGTTTTGGGCAAAGTTCTTAATACTATGATACTTACTTGCCTCCATAACTCCAAGTAAATGAAAAGTCTCTCTGAGAAACACTGAAGAAATGCATTCCCCATCTCATATGGCTTCAGTGAATGCCGTAAGCAGTTAATATGTTCTAATATTAGATTAGATCCACAAATAAAAGACAGGGCAGGGCTGAGAATATAGTCTTAGTAGTCAGGGATCCTATACATTCACGCTTCTAGGTAACACAAGCTAGGAAAGTCTTGTTTTCCAGCTAACTGCGTTATTTAAAAGTTCATTGAAGATCAAGATTTATCACAGAATTTGGTTTTTCTTTCAGGAAAATTTACTAAAATAACTACTTGTATGTTCATTTCTTTAAAAATTTTATACATGCTTAAAAGGCATGGCCTCAAGCCACTGAGATGTACAGTTAAAGACATATTTGATCCAAGAAAGAAGTAAATGTAAAAGGTATACTCTAGTGAAGACCAATGATAACAAAGTAAAGCCTGTCACATTAACTTTGCTTGATTTGCTGTAATGTCCCAAGCAGGGCCAGCCACTTTTAGGCCCCTTGTTGGTTTCCTGACTGTACTTTAAAAAATAAAGCTGAAAAAGAGCAATATACCACCATCCTTAAAGAAAACACAGAGACTATTAGAAGAAATTGATCATGTATATTCATTAACTATTAGCATCCCACAAGCTCTGTTCCATGTACGAGGTGGCAGAATTTATAGTTGCTAATACCAGAATTAATACCAGAATGGCTTAACCTTGAACCACTGATTTATCACAGATACTTATTAACAAATATCATGACCTCATTATTCTTGCTAAACAAAATCTTTTTTTTATAAAGCCACTTTGAATGCATTCCTCACAAAACCTGATTGAATGACCTCGGTAGGTAGTAAATCACTCCACATGAAGGCTTTGGGATAACTGATACATTAATAGATATAGAATACAATTTGAGAAGATGAGAGCAAGTTTTTTGATCCCCTGATTTAGTATAAGTTCAGCAGCAACTTGGTCATTAAACATTCAAAGGTATTAAACCATTAGATCATTGGTAAGATGCATACTTACAAAAAGCATCATTTCCATTGCATGATAAGACAGACACAATTAAATGCAAATCTTTCAGGTCTTTGCCTGATTGGCAGTGAAGATGACACTTTCACACCAGTGTTTTATCACTCAGCAGTCATGGTTTACATTTTTTTTCAATGGAGGGAGCTATACGTAAAAGCTTTTAGCTATATTGGTTGATCAAAAAGAGACTGTCAAATGAAACATTAGGACAAAGAACCAAATTACTCCCAGAGGCCTATGTGAACAAGACCGGCCAAGCGATTTCAATAATAGTATGCTAATACAGGGTATAGGCTTGGGCTGGAGCATGAAATATAGATATTTTGTGTTCAAATACAGGTTAAGAATGTGCAAGTAGGTCTCTTCCACATTTCTAGATATTTTCAATAGAATTCAGATCTTGTAGGTGGCTGAGTCATCTGAAATCCATGTGTGCAACCTAGAAAAGGTTCCAATTTAGGCAATATTAAAGAATCAGGCATTCCTAGAATAAGCTAGTGCTTCACAGATAAAAGCAGCAGCACCTGTGGGTTTTTACCAAGTTAAAAGATAGGCAACATGAGTTTTAGCTTTTGCTAGATCTATCTCTCAGCTTCATTGAAGTGGACATTTAGATCTTTCACAACAAAGTCAGTAAGCTCTCCCTTAAAATGGGCTATCCAGAAGTTTGCTAAACCTTAAAAGAGAGGTAGTGAAATCTTGCTTACAGCATAGTCTACCAGTTCCGATCTAGCCTTGGAACAGGTAGAAAGCTAAATGGAGAAGCCCATTTATTCATTTCCTACTGTTATATGTGTTTAAAAATCAATTCAACCTCCATTAAACCTGAATAAGAGAAACTCCAGCTATTTAACAACTAGAGAAAAGTACTCCTCAGTAGGTTGAAAAAACCTTGAGTTTTTAAAGCTTTATTTCGATTCTGACTGCTGTCCCTGCCTTAATGTTTCTGGATTCTTTTGGCCATTTAAAACAAAGAAAAATACTAAAGCCACTAGTAAACACCTGATGTGCAAAATACAACATCCCCTAGTTGGCTTTATGTCATTATTACATAAGCTCCAAATAGCTTATCTTAAATTAAAAAGAGAAACAAAGTGGCTGTTCCATCTCTGCTGCATAAATAGAAATCAGATTTTGTTTTTTAAGGTTAAGAGTACTTTAAGGAAGGGAAGTTCAAAACTGCCAGTGAAATTCACAGAGAATACAAATTTAGCAATTTAACTTCCCAAAGCTCTTTGAAGAAGCAAGAGAGTCTCTCTCCTTAATGGAGTGTTCACCCAAGAGGAACTTTAATTTTCCTTGGTACTTATGCTAGGAGATATACAAAATGTGTTTCAGTGTTTGCTAGAATATAATGTTTCCTCTTCAGTGTCTGTTTCATCCTGGAACTCATGGCTTAGGAGGGACTTCTTGGAGCCAGTTGACATCATACGAATTTCATCTTCATACTCATCATGATGCTGCCTGAGCCGATGAAAGCCATCCTTGTGTCTATTAGACTTGATTGAGCAGATGCACCAAATAATGCAAGCTGTTAGGATCAATGCTGACATAGTAGCACCTGACAAAGAAAAACCATCATGTGGGAAAAATTATACTTTAAGGATATGAACAAGCAGCTGCTTACAATGGAACTTTTAAGATTATACCCCTCATTTATTTCTATTTCATGCACTCACAAACACATTTTTATTATTATAGAAGTAGTACATGTACAATATACAAAATTTAAAAATACAGATAAGCAAAACTAATAAAAGCCAAAACCAAAAAACCTACTATTTTTACATTTCCATTGCCCATCATTTTTAATCACCAGATGTTTTGTGTGTGCGTGATCCTCCCACCTTGGCCTCCTGAGTAGTACCACAGGTGCACACCACCACACCTAATTTTTTCTATTTTTGGTAGAGATGGGGTTTCACCATGTCGCCCAGGCTAGTCTAGAATCCTTGACCTCAAGTGATCCACCTACCTCAGCCTCCCAAAGTACTGGGATTACAAGCAGGAGCTACCATGCCTGGCCCCAGATCTTTCTTTACGCATGTACATGTATTTTTTTCTTTTACCATAATGAATTTATACTGTGTCTACTGTTCTGCAACCTGGTTTTTATGACTTCTATTATACTTTCCA